CGGTAGCTGTCCGTCCTTAGGTCAGCCTTGTCCCTCTTTCTTTTATAGATCATGCTCATCCTGCTTAGTTTCCACCCATTGGGGGCTTCACCATTCATTATTGCTTTGCTCGCTCTTAATGTTTGCTTAGAGTTTGCTCCTAGTTTCTTTATTATATCCTAATTGGTATGCCGTCAGGGTTTGTTGATGTGCTATTAGGAACCTTTTTCTCTGCCCTTCGACTGACGTCAGCGCCACCAAGCGTCGGATGCAGTATGTTTGTGGCAAGTAGCAACAGATAGAGTGCACGTCGATTTCTGTAGTAAACTTCTTCTTCACTTGTGTCTGATTGACGGGTCGAATGTGCTCACTTGGCTAGTCCGTTTTATCTATCGTGGCTACACTTTCATCACTTCTTTCTAGTGGAAGCAGCGATTTCAAACTCAAAAGGTGCGGGAGATATCCCACGCAATAGTTCATTGCCGAGATAAGAATACGGCAACGAATTTAACGGGCATGCGTTTGAGTGTAGCCACGACACAAACATGGCGATAACGGACCAGCCAGGTCAGTGTATTCCGCCAGGCATAAGGGCAGGCTACGGGGGTGGAGCTACTGCACATGTACTCCTCCGCCAAGTAGTCCGGCTAGACTCACTTTCTGAATGCTGGCCGTGTTCGAATATTACCACTGCACAGAATTTGCCACGTCCGCTTACGCAGCTATTCGTGAGTGAAATTCGACACAAGCTCCTTCGGCAAATCGCCGGAACAGCTGGAGGGCGACGGGCACTCACTTAAATACGAAGACGCCATTTTGGCTGTGAGGTGCACCTAAAACGTGGCACGTTCTCAGACGCGCAAAAAACGGGAAATGACACTTCATAAAAGAAAACAAATATTAATATCTTCTGGGTTCGTGCAGCGTCTTTTTCTAAACAGCATGCCGTTGAAAATGAAGTAATTTTGTTTTTTTTTTTACTATATTCACGCGGAAAACACAGACGTATTCGTGGGATTATATTCCTCAGCGGTAGCACACGCCCACTTTGGTTCCGTCGCCTTCCCTTTATTGCCACAGAAAGTTGTCCCCGAGTATAGTTGAAACAAACGCACCACGTTCAACGCTTGGCTGGCGCTGAAGTTGGTCGAAGCGAAGTGAGGACACGCTGCCTGGCTGTTCGTATTAAATGGGCTGACCTCTGCACACTTGGCGATTCCAGTGTGATGGAAAGAAAGAGGGTGCAAAAAGAAACTGTTTTGCAGGACAGCATACCAGCGTTTGGCCTGACATCAGCGTCCCCGATTGAGTGGGGTTTTTCTTACAGCAAAGTTATTAGTCTACCCTGTGACATAGTCGCCGTATTACTATTATCCGTAGTGGTAGTTGTTATAGTAGTAGAAATTATCACGCAGGTCACTGAACAGAGAGGGGAGTGAATAAAGATTATCAAGCGAAATCATGATGATAATGACGATCTCCGAAATTATGGTGATGATGCTGCTTTTCTTCACATGTGTATAGATATATCTACGAACGTTCCAAGGGAATTCGCGCGAACTTGTACCCTGGCGTGCATGAACTTGCACAAAGTGTGGTGAAAATCTTTTTTCCCGTTTTGCCCGATATCATTTCAGGCCCTGGACGTCGCGTCAATCAGTACATCAGATGCAGCCTCATCCGTTGTTCGTGCACAGGGGCCGAGAACGTTCCAGTGGCGTAATGGTCACAAATTATAGGATAAGCGCGACTTGATTATATGCTTACTAGATGTCTTCAAGGTTGGAGCACCAGTGCATTTACCTCATCGAAACTTCTTCTTTGACGTTCAATAGGGTTGAAAGCTGGGCTAGTTAGTTTGGCTGGTGGGTGAGTAGTAGTGGGCTGTTTTTTTCTTACAATTGGCTAATTGGTGACCGATGGTTAAGTATTGATTGATATGTGGCGTTTAAAGTCCCAAAACCACCATCTGATTATGAGAGACGCCGTAGTGGGGGGCTCCGGAAATTTTGACCACCTGGGGTTCTTTAACGTGCGCCCAAATCTGAGCACACGGGCCTACAACATTTCCGCCTCCATTGGAAATGCAGCCGCTGCAGCCGGAATTTGATCCCGCGACCTGCGGGTCAGCAGCCGAGTACCTTAGCCAGTATTCCACCGCGGCGCGGCGGAGTTTTCGAAAGGAAGCGTGCGCAAGCCGGATGAGGATTATTGTTGTGGAAGAAAAAGACAACCTTTTTACTCGATCTTTTTTTTATTTTTTAGTGAATGCTATACCAACATGACCAGTTTCACGCGTGCACCTAAGCGCAGAACCGGAAGCAGTTCGAGGATACGGTGCTGGCGTGCGTGCGGTTCGGCCTGCTTCCGGAGTCGGTGTTGCTCAAGTGCTTCGAGGCGCCTCCCTTGGGCAAGATGGCACTGTCCGGTCGCCCGGTTCGCATGCAGCTCATGGAGGCCGCCTTGTGAGTCGACCGCTAACAACGCGGCGCATTGTCTTCCTGATTTCGGTCACGTTCAGTCGCTCACGACCGCGTCATGTTCGAGCTTTGACGTGGCAGACTTCATTTGTCCGCCACGGTGGATCAGTGGCGATAGTTCTCGGTTGGCTGTCTCGAAGGTCGCGGGGTCGATCCATGCCGCGGTGGTCCCGTTTTGGTTGTTCAAGAACGTCACTAGTGACACTCAAAAACCAACATTATACAATATTCCAATACACTCAATCAGCATAACAAACGCAAGGTAATGCGAAGACAGCGTCACTGATCTGTGTGATGTCAATGCACGTCGAAATGGTTGAAATTTCTGGAAATCTCCACTACGGCGTATTCATTTCGTTCGCGAATTAGTAGTACCCCGTGCGCGTACTGGTAGCACGCGCACCAGGACATGCACCAGGACGTGCACCAAGACGCAGATACGGACAGCTGCTTGCAGCTGTCCGTATCTAACTCGTTGCGCTGTAAAATATTCTACGATACGCTGTTTTATTTTTTTTATTTTATTACAAGTACCTACATCGCCCATTGGGCATTGTTGTAGGGGGGTTACAGTAGAAAATAGAATACAAAACAGCAAAATTAAAAGCAAATAAATCGTGCATTACAGTATACAGGAGAAATCAACACTTGTAGTACAGCATTAGAACAAAAGTACAAAACACAGGATTATACAACGAAAGCAGTAATTATACATATAAAAAATGAACAACCAAGAGAAGTGCAAAGCCAACGTTAAATATATGGGTTATTTCAGCAGCTCAAAATGCTGTTTCAATGGCTGTTAGGAAGTTAGAATCAGAGAATAATGGTATATTTAGCGTATTCCAGTCACTAATAGAATTTGGAAAGAAAGAGTATTTAAGGACATTCAATCAACACGTATATATTACTTTGTTGACCATGTTGCAATAATAATAATCAATTGTGCCGGTGTTCTTTGTGAATAGTTGGGTCTTTAAACCAGCCACTCATTGCGCAATCAATTCTCGTGTTCCCACGCATGGTGTGCCATCACGCTTTTGTCATGCAATGTTTTACACGCGTTTTAAATACTCCTACTTTTACATGATAGTCGTATAGTTTTTGTTTTCTCTCGAAACAGTGTCAAGTGCTTGCGTGGCTCTGTGGTGCAACACCTGCTTGCCACCCAGGAGTGGCAGGCTTCTGTATGGCAAGCAGGTTGTACATTCGGTTGAAGTGCACTACAACCGAAAGTTTTTATTGCTTGGTTATTTCTGATATCTCGGATTTTCGCTTACTGACAACTCTGTAATTTCGATTGAAACCAACAGTGACATCAAAATTTTGGTGAAACGAGCTTTTTAATGTTATCGCGTTGAAACTGTATGAATCAGTCACTCGGCTAATGCTTTCACCTAAGCAACCGAAACGTGCAAGATGGCGCAATGAATTCGTAATACTGTTACATAGCTGACATATAAGCGATCAGGCATTTTGAGCACAGAAGGCGACGAAAAATAGGGCTGGTGTGTCCCATAGACTTTCCTAAATACACGCTAGAGGGAACTGTATGGCGCTAGTGTCTATGGGAGCTGCAACGTATGGCGCTTCAGCGAGCATGGGAATTATGGGTAGTACACTGATTTCCCTAGTCATCGTACTTTACGTTACTTTTGGCTTCGCGTGCCTTCAAGCTGCTTTGTCACGAAACAACAGTCGACAAATATTCGACAGTTGCCCTTTACTACCTTAACTTACCCATTTCGAATCGGGTCACGAAGTTCAAAAGGGTTCGTTCTTTCCTTCGAAACGAAACTCGAAATACAGCAATAAACGAAGCCACAAGTGCGATTCGGCACCCGTAAGTATGAAGACTAGGCAAATCTATGTACTACCTATCATTCTCATGATCGCTGAACGATTGCAGCGCCAGAATCCCCCCTAGTTAATTTTAGGAAACTCTATGATCTGCCCTGCTCTGCGTGCTGTCCGTCCGTCTAAGTCGATGCTATATGCGCATCAGCGTAAATACAGCTTGTAAATAGCCATGCCTTGAAGTGTACGCCCTTGATATTTAGCTTTAGGTATAGTTAGCTTTAGGTGTAGTATAGCGCTATGATTTTTTTTCAAAGGCTGATTATCTTCTGCATGTAGTTGTGTGACACTACGTAAATTGCAAAAGCCATCGCTCGACCGGTTTAAAGGAGACTGAATAGAACAATGCAACTGCTCGAGGCTCAACGCCATGCTCGTTTTTGAAATTTTATTTCAAACGGTAATTTAATTCGTGTGTGTATAAAAATACAACACGTATTTAGGAAAAATTTTGGCATATTTAGGCAAAATTTAGGCATTTAGGAATATTTAGGCAAAAATGGCTGTCACGGTCTGATTTGTGACCCCTCCCCCCTAGTGATTTTTCTTAATTTGCGCCGCTTATCATTATCTATTATTCTTTGTCAGTCGCACTAATGCGGTCACAATTGTTGGTGTCCTATAAGCCTATACGCTCACGAAAAGGAATATGGCTGAGCGTATACCAGCTCAGTCACTCGGGTAATGGACTCGCGCAGCTCTCACTATGTCCGCCTGCGTGGTAGACCGGACCTGGCATTGGAGGTGCGCAAGCGGACCTTCACGGCAGCGGTGCCCGCCAGCCTGTCCGAGAGCACCGTCATGACGTCGCCCTCGTCGGATGGCTCCCCCGGTGTGGGATCGCCAACGGCTACCAAGTGCCCACCGCAGGCGAGCGATCATTTCATACCTTAAAGGCACGAACAAGACTAAAGAGCGAACAATATTTTCATAATTAGTATGATCCCCTACACAACAATAAAAGCATGGTTTTTGCGAGAGAACGCGCACAAATCAGGCACAAGTATAGCGACTCCACCATCATGTTTCCGCACCAACTGTCTGTAACGTCACAAATATTGACGGCTTCTATTCCAGGGCCTACACAGTTCTGAAAGTTGCCCTGTAATGTAACACTTTTCGAACATTGTCGAAAAATGCTGTTGATCGGTATTCGACGCACCTTGGAATATGTGACCGAAGCATTAGGCCACAGCACGCTACATATAGTACTGAAAATTAAATATCATAGTCAGCTAGAAATTGTTCGCCTTCCTCTAGGCTAATTATGCCACGCACCCAACACCAACTTCGTCACGTACCCAAAGGCACATGGACACAGATATTTGCGGACGGCTGCGTCGCGAGCATGGCCTCCGAGATTAGCCGGTGGCATCTCGGAGGCCACGTCGTGAGCTGCATAGTTACCGCGATGTGCCGCTCGCGCCGCGCAAGTACAGTTTACATTCAAGCCCATGCTGAAAGTTTGTCGTGCGTTCAAAGAAAGTGAGGAAGTGCTAAAGGTCACGACACATGCTGACAAGGAGGTAGCTTTTTGCCCGTTTGATCGGTAAGAATACGAGCGAGTAAGACATTCGCGTAGAACAAAAAAACAGATTTCACAAAAAATAATGTTCAATAGCGAATGCGCAATACCATCTTAATCATAAGAGAGGAGATGACAAGGACTTGAAGAATTACAGGCCGATCAGCTAGCTCTCTGTAGTACACAAGCTATTTACAAAGGTAATTGCTAACAGAGTAAAGAAAACATTAGAATTCAATCAACTAAAGGAACAAGCAGGATTTCGAACAGGCTACTCAACAATTGACCACATTCATACTATCAATCAGGTAATGGAGAAATGCTCAGAGTATAACCAACCACTATACATAGCCTTCATAGATTACGAGAAGGCGTTTGATTCAGTAGAAATATCAGCAGTCATGCAGACACTGCGGAATCAGGGCGTCGGTGAAGTATATATAAACATCCTGGAAGAAATCTACAGGGGATCAACTGCTACCATAGTGCTTCATAAAGAAAGCAACATAATACCAATCAAGAATGGTGTAAGGCAGGGGGACACAATCTCCCCAATGCTATTTACCGCGTGCTTACAGGAGGTTTTCAGAAGCCTAGAATGGGAACAGTTAGGGATAAGAGTTAATGGAGAGTACCTTAGTAACCTGCGCTTCGCTGATGACATTGCATTGCTGAGTAACTCAGGGGACAAATGGCAATTCATGATTACGGAGTTACACTAGGAGAGCAGAAAGGCACGTGGGTATTAAAATTAATCTGCAGAAAACGAAAGTAATGTACAACAACCTCCGAAAAGAGCAGCGCTTCGAGATAGGTAATGGTGCACTTCAAGTTGTAAAAGACTATGTCTACTTAGGGCAGGTAATAACCGCGGAGCCAAACCACGAGATTGAAGTAACTAGAAGAATAAGAATGGGGTGGAGCACATTTGGCAAGCACTCTCAAATTATGACAGGTAGATTGCCACTATTCCTGAAAAGGAAGGTATATAACAGCTGTATCTTGCCGGTACATAGCTATGGAGCATAAACCTGGTGACTTACAAAGAGGGTTGAGCTTAAATTGAGAACGACGCAGTGAGCAATGGAACGAAAAATGGTAGGTGTAACCTTAAGAGACAAGAAGAGAGCAGAGTGGATTAGGGAACAAACAAGGGTTACGGATGTCATAGTTTAAATCAAGAAGAAGAAATATACATGGGCCGGGCATGTAGCGCATAGACAGGATCACCGCTGGGCATTAAGGGTAACTAACTGGATTCCCAGAGAAGGTAAGCGAGTTAGGGGGAGACAGAAGGTTAGGTGGGCAGATGAGATTAAGAAGTTTGCGGGTATAAATTGGCAGCAGCAAGCACAGGACCGAGTTAACTGGCGGAACACGGGAGAGGCCTTTGTCCTGCAGTGGACGTAGTCAGGCTGATGATGACGATGATAAACTACAACAGTGCGCACTGCACCAGTGCACACCGGGGTAGTGTACACTGCACCGCACATGCGCATGCGCAGAATGTCTGAGGCATGCGCACGTGCTAAGAGGCACGCGCTCGCTATTTTGATACGCGCATACGCATTCGGGCATGTGCATTCAAATTTTTGCTTGATACTGTGATATAGATATGTATTTAGCTCCTTCTTTTACGAATCCTTGTTAGCAGGCGGGGGCGTCCGAAGCGTTCCTTCCTCCACTGAGCGGCAGCTGGCCGAACGACGCTCGCTACCGCGACCACGAAGACCAGCTGGCCAGGGTGCAGGCCCTGGTCAGGGGATTCCTGGCCAGGAGGGAATACGCCAAGCTGCACGCCCGTCCGAAGGTATACACCCATAAGTGTTGCAAATTGCATGGGAACTGCACGTAACTGAAACCACCATGTTAACGTAAACCAACACTCGTACAATCTCGAAAGCAAAACCTGCTCATTCTTCGAGAAGTATTCATTCAACAATTCCCACGGCAATCGACACCACTGTGGTTTCATTTTCGCTGAGCTTGGAGCAGTAAAAAAAATGGCAGCATATCCACGGAGTGAATGATGGATAGTGGGGCGAAGCATCCGTCAGTCTATTCGTTATTGCTTCCGCCCATCCATGCGTGCGTCTGTTCGTGCGTCCGCACGTTCATCTGTGCGTCCGTCCCTGCTTTCGTCCATGCATCCACTCCTGCGTCCGCCCATGCGTCCATCCGTCCGTGCAGCCATCCGTGCGTCCGTCCATGCATATGTGTGTGTGTCCGTTCGTCCATCTATGCAACACTCCAAGTACCACCATCTCGCATCTTTTCATCATATATTCCCGGTATAGAAGCACAGCCATCCAGCGGGCATTCCAAAGGCTAAACGAGAGGTGGCACACGCACACTTTCTTACGGCTTGCGCTTCGTGTCTACTTTCCACCTTAAACCACCTCGAGTTCATGGTATATACTAGTTCACTGTATTCATGGCATTGCGGCCCAACACTCGCTAAACCTTTCTAAAACCTATAGGAGGTTATGCCCAACGAGTATAACGTAGCAACACTTTCTAGTCCTCTGTGCATTGTTGAACGATAAAAAATTCGCAGCGTACGCGTTAACTAAAAGCCGATTTCTCCTGTCTCTCATTCCCCCTTAGCAGCCATTGGCGTGTACATTGAGCACTATCTTTTATTTTTCAACAACGCACAGAAGAAATCTCTCACAGGCACCTCCTTGGAGGTCAAAATATACTTGTTACACACTACTACAACGGCAACGAGGGACGAACAAGTGCCGCTATAATGAGCTTCGCCCCTAAAAAGAAAAAGCCAGACCGAAGTCATGGGTGACGACGAGGCGGGCGAGCAGAGGTGGGGAGGCGGCGTTTTCGGGATGATGTTCTCATGGTGTTTTAAGAGCTGTCGAACGTTGGTTCATGTTTTTTGTACTCTATAGGGCATAGCGGGAGCAAATTTGCCATTTTGTCATTTCTTGACGGCTATGATGACTTCAGTGGATGCCATGACTGTAAATCCACAAACACCAATGACTATTTTTTGTCGATATAGTTGATTGGGTGAGTTGGTGACACATAATTGTTTTGAAAAGAGAGCGCACTGCTTAGACGCGGACAGAGGACAGGGACAAGCGCTTACAAGCAACTGAAAATTTATTCGGAAAACTATGGAATATATAGTGACAGATGAAACAGTGTCATGGCACATACGATAATACCAAATCATGGACCAAAATTACAGAACCGATAAAAGATCTATGTACGTCAGCCCCACCCTACCAACGCCTACTGTGCTTTCGAGTGATTAGTTGACTCCTATGGCGTCCGCTACTCTCTGAAAATGCTAGCTCCTAAGCAGTACACTCTCATTTCAAAACGATTTTTTCGTGGTCTTATGAGGCCACAAAGATAATTAAAATACGCACTAAATTATTTTCCGACAAAAATAAAAATTCCGTGGCTGGAGGGATTAAAGGGGCCGACAACCACTTAATGCGGTACCTTTTTTTTTTTTTAGCGCAGCGGAAGGCTTGCCGGTCAGAGCAGTCAGAGTGTCTATAATAAAGGAATATTAACGAGGAAAACGCCGTGAAGTACTTCTTATCCGAGTTTTTCATTTTCATCTGCAGCGAATATGAAGTTGTATACGCAGCTGACAACACATTCATTGCGCATGCGCCTTGGCTCAACATGTGGGCACGGCGAAGCGGCTGGAAAGATGCCGCTAACGAAACGCTTCTTTTTCGTTGTACAGGCCGTGTTTTTCATGCTCGCCGGGCCATCGGAACCTTGCACTACCGGGAATGAAGTTGCGGCGATTACATCTGTCTCTGCTAACTACTGTCCAGTGCCTTCATCGAATTTGGACATACTGGATACGCCCCCTCTGGAACATTGCATGCCCGTGACGTCATCGTTGGATCGCCCTTTTAAAGACAGGCCACACAGTTGGACCTTCAGTGGGCACGGCGAAGCGGCTGGAAAGATGCCGCTAACGAAACGCTTCTTTTTCGTTGTACAGGCCGTGTTTTTCATGCTCGCCGGGCCATCGGAACCTTGCACTACCGGGAATGAAGTTGCGGCGATTACATCTGTCTCTGCTAACTACTGTCCAGTGCCTTCATCGAATTTGGACATACTGGATACGCCCCCTCTGGAACATTGCATGCCCGTGACGTCATCGTTGGATCGCCCTTTTAAAGACAGGCCACACAGTTGGACCTTCAGTGGGCACGGCGAAGCGGCTGGAAAGATGCCGCTAACGAAACGCTTCTTTTTCGTTGTACAGGTTAGTTTTTCTCTTTCAAATCATAGGTCTGGAGACGAAATTGTACTTCTTATTGTGCCGTGCCCACAGACATGTTTTATTATTGCATATGAATGTTATTTTGTTTGCAAGTTATTGCTGTGTGGAGATGTCGAGCAAAACCCTGGGCCAACTGTTGATGAAATGTTTCACGAGCTCTTGAAGGGACAATCTGATATCCGAGCAGAACTTGTAAGCCTTAGAGCACGTTTAGACTCAACAGAATCATTAATAAGCACCTTTGGAGTGCGTCTGAATAACTTAGAAGCAAATGTTAAGCAACTACAAACTCAGAAGGGCGTGAGCGAATCGATACAGGAGTCTGTAGATTCTATTCAGCAGTTAATTGATATTCATCAGTCCAAGCTGGTTGACCTTGAGAATCGCAGTCGCCGGAATAATCTTCTTGTATTTGGTATCAGCGCTGCTGGTAGTGAATCTGAAGCAGAGCTACGTGAAAAGGTAGTGAAGGGCATATTTCATGATCGATTAGGGGTGAAATGCACGACAATTGCGCGGATTCATAGATTAGGCAAGCCGGTATCAAGCAGACGTCCTGTTATACTTTTTTTCCAAGATTATACGGAAAAGCAAGCTGTGTTGCGTCAAGCACATAAGCTGAAGGGAACCAAAATTTATCTTCAAAACGACTACTGTCCTGACACACTCCGCAAAAGAAAACTGCTATGGGCAACTGCAAAAGCAGACAGAGAAAGTGGTAGCAAGGTTGCTCTTGTTCACGATAAGCTTCGTATTGATCACACCTTTTTCTGTTGGGACGACTCGCTTAATGCGCGTAGGAAAGTGTCACATGAGAGTGCCGTAGGGAATCCCAGCTAGCAATTAGGGGAGCACCAACTTCGTTTGCTTTGCTTCAATGCACGGAGTATAACAAATAAAATTGAAAAGTTGGAAAATATTTTGCTCACGCACGATCCTCATGTCTGTGTGATAACAGAGTCTTGGTTACATGAAGCCATTGGCGATAGCGAGATAGTTCCGCCGAACTACCAACTTTTTCGATGTGATCGTGGTCATCGGGGCGGTGGAGTGGCTGTCATTATCAAGTATGGCATTGATGTAACTATTGCTGAGCGTTTTCCAGTGAGAGAGAGTCTGCTTTTAAAACTTTCATTTGCTGATATGTCATTTTTTCTCTGTGCGGTTTATCGATGTCCTAATGCTGATGATTCTTTTATGAGCGGTTTGTACGATGAACTACTACATCTACGAAGCAAAAATCTTATTTTAACGGGTGACTTCAATCTGCCAGCCATTAATTGGGATGATATAAATTATGGTACTTCTTCCTCGGCTGACACACTCTTAGACATAATGTTTTCTCTAGGCCTTGAGCAAATGGTAGGACACCCCACAAGGGGGAGTTCGATACTTGATCTGCTATTTACAACGGAACTCTTTACCGAAGCGACTATCACAGTTGAAACCGGTATTTCTGACCATAGATTAATATCATTTGTTTGGGACAGGCATGCACGTTGTAAATCAGTGAAAACGCCAGTGGAAAGTGTTGTAAGAGATTTCAATCGAGCGGATGATGTTGCAGTAATTGATTATTTAGAAACACATCTCCCCACATCTGTTAGTGATGTTGATAGAGCCTGGCAACGCTTCCGTGGTATTGTGGACTTCTGTACAAAGAACTTTGTCCCGCTTAGGAGAATACGCAGGCGTTCACATAACCCATGGATAAACCGTGAGATTATAAAGATCAAGAGAAAGATAAAAAGGTTACGAAAAAAACACAAGACTAGTACGCAACATTTTTCCGATCTTAAAGAAAAATTATTAGAGAGTGTTAGCAAGGCTAGGCATCAATTTTTTAACGACACACTACCTGAATTCATCAGGACAGATCCTGATAAATTTTGGCGCTATATTAAGCAAACTAAAGAAGGCGTTTCTGAAATACAAGTTGATGAGGTCACGATAACAGATCCGGCACTAATTGCTGATCATTTTAATAAATACTTTCAGAGCGTCTTTTCCGAACCACAGTATTATGAACTGCGAGACCCGATGCCCATAATCACGGATGATGTTCTGATAACTCGTGAAGGTGTTTTACAAATGTTACTTAAGGTTAATCCTAAGAAATCGTCAGGCCCTGACGGCATTGGTAATTCATTCCTACGACGCTATGCTGAACAAATCACTGACTTCCTTACTGCCCTTTTCAATGTATCATTCAAATATGGTCAGATACCAGCCGATTGGCGTAAAGCTCGTGTTGTGCCGATCTTTAAAAAGGGTAACCGCTATTCCTTGACAAACTACCGTCCTGTTTCTATCACTAGTAGCTGCTGTAAAATGTTAGAGCATGTAGTTGCAAATTACATTAACACATTTTTATCAGAAAATAATATTTTGTCGCCTAATCAACATGGTTTCCGAAAAAATATGTCTACGGTAACACAGCTTGTGTCTACAGTGCATGAATTCGCACGGGTTCTAGATATATCTGGGCAGACTGATGTGTTCTTTTTAGATTTTAGCAAAGCGTTTGATAAGGTGCCTCATGGAAAACTTTTGTTTAAACTCGAAAATATTGGGCTACCTTCGGGCATCGTTAAATGGATTCATATGTACTTAAATAACAGAACTCAATTTGTTGAGGTCAGGGGTTGTTTTTCTTCTTCGCTAAATGTTTCTTCTGGTGTGCCACAAGGTAGTGTGTTAGGCCCCTTGTTATTCTTAATTTTTATTAATGATTTAGTTGATGTCGTACATAAGGACATATCCGTCAGATTATTCGCGGATGATTGTGTTGTTTTTAAAGAAATATGTTGTGTAAATGACCACATATTACTTCAACAGTCTCTTACAAGTATAGATGAGTGGTGTCAAAACTGGGGCATGGAACTTAATAGTGACAAAACAGTTCTCTTGAGAATAACAAGAAAACGAACTCCCAGCCTTTATACTTATTTTCTCCGCAATAACCCACTCAAAGACGTAGAAAAATACAAATATCTAGGAATCACTTTGACAAAGTCACTTACGTGGTCAGACCACATTACAAGCATATGCACGGCTGCACTTAGGAAACTGTGGTTTCTTAAGAGGAAACTTAAATCCTCAACGAAGGAGACTAGATTATTGGCATATAACACCTGCATCCGATCAAAACTCGAATATGCCTCGGTTGTTTGGGACCCTCAATGTAAAAAAGATATTGCCTTGATTGAAAAAGTTCAACGGAAGGCTGTCAGATTTATATTTAGCAAATATAAAAGATATGATTCGCCAACACAACTTATGCAACTAAATGATATCCAAACACTGGAAACTCGCAGGAAAATTAATCGGTTAACGTTCCTACACAAAATTCTTTCCGGTAAAGTTACAACAAGTCTGCCCAACTGTGTGAAACCTCTATCTTCTAGAAAAACAAGACATAAGCATAAATATTCATTGGCGCCAGTTTTTGCCCGTACCACTGCTTTTAAAAATAGTTTTTTCCCTAGGACTATTGCTGACTGGAACTCTTTACCAATAAGTGCTTTTCAGTCCGAAGATATTGAAAAACAGCTTGAAACTTTTTTTGTTTAGTTCTGAATGATGTATCCATATGGTGTGTATTCGCAGTGCCCGAGTAATGTAGTTAGTTGACTTCTGCTGCGCATGAGTGTTCTGATCACTGTTTATGTGCCGTAACTCTGTTGTGCAAGTGCACTATAAGTTGTCTAATTAAGTGCTGTGACATTATACTTTTTTGATGTTTTTGCCCCTCCTGCTTGGGCCTAAGTATAGGCCTGCAGAACCTGTAAATAAATAAATAAATAAAAAATAAATAAACATGTTCCACTGGCTGCCGCGAAGGCAGCGCCGTATTTCACCGTAATACTTATTTACCTTTCAAATAGAACAAAATAATTGTAAACAATAATTTACATACTTTAAGGACTAATTACGGCGCGCACGGCATCACCAAACTACGTACACCAAACTGATCGACTCCGAAATTCAGCTCCAAGGCTCTTCCGCTAGATTTCGCGACAGGCCAATATTTGTCTCTTTTAAACACCACTTCAAATTCACATTTACGATAAAACGGCAGCGCACCCCGGGTCAAGACGCAAACACGAAAAGTACAAGCGAAAAGGCGACACAAGGAAAGATGCCCGCCACTTCGCCATGTACTGCAGCGATCGCGGCTGCGCACGGATATTGGGCAACGCCAGGGTGGTGTGGAAAAGCGGCAGAAATTTTCGAAACAAAGGGGTTAGGTTTTCACAAGTGATGTGGTTTGGTTTTTTGGTGACGTTTTTTTTTATTTTCGTACGTAGATTTTGATTCCTTCCGCTCTCGCGTTGTGAATGGGGTGAAACTGTGGGTTTTTGTTGCTCTTGAGATTTTAGCCCACAAGTACATTTTATGCAAATTCATATTCAACTAACACAGCGAAAAATATGCTGGAGTCTGTCGCTGTATTTCACGGTCTTTTCATTTCTACCGGGATCCGATCCCACGTTGTCGTTCCCTTCAACCTGCGCGAAAAACGAGAGGTATAATACACCACACAACGTGCCTCCTCGCAACTGACATTGTTGAAAAGAACACTCATTAATAAAGCCATGACCAAGTACCGCGTGCTTTTATTTCAAAAACCAACTCCCAAATATCAATTCTCTGGCGGTGGGTTAACCGCCACGTGATTATAGGCTGCCTTGGCGTCATCAAAGCCACCACGTTCGATTAAGAACTTGCTGCCGTGGTGACACGTGAAAGCTACCACTACCCCGTGACGTGTCAAAATGAAAAAATTAACGTCCGATCTAAGTGGCCTACAGCTGCATAGGATCGCAAGCCCTAATTTCAGGGCAATTCAGGCTATTTTTATGTACTTCACCTAATTAACTAGTTCCAGATTAATGAAAACAACTCTTCGCAGGATACAATCGAGGCGAAAGTGTCATTGAGCAAATTGTAAGCTGTCCTGAAAAAAAAATTGCTTATTCGTCTTTCATTTCTATGTGCGCTGTTCCGCTGTGGCTTTTACTCCGGCCATTTTACGCAATCAAAGATTCAATTAAATCATTATACCGCAAGGTTATGTAGCGCACTGTTTTACATGGACAACAGGGCAGAAGGACGCTACATTCACTATCAAATTTATTTCAGAAAAAAGCTATATATATATTCATGAATAAATATAGGCACCCACGCTGACCTCGCGAGTCACAGAACTGAAACTGCAGACACTGAAAACTTACCCGATATCAAATTTTGTGCACTTAACAATAAAATAATCGCGGAAAGTGTAGATATGAGCTTAACCGTTCACGCATTCTTATACACGAAACACGATTTGCGCATATACACGAAGTATTTTTCCGAAATAAATTTAGTTGCGAATACCGTGTCCGCCTTGTTCATGTTGTCCATGTAAAAAAAAAAAAAGAGGTGGACTACTTAACCTTACGGTATAATGATCAGTCACCAAGTGGGCGAGCTCTCAATCCCATCGAACTTCAATTAAATGTCCGTTGGCAGCCGCCGGCGCTGCTTCAGGAGTCCGAAGAGACGCCCGTCTCGCTGGCGGCCATGGAAGAGGCCTGGAGCCTGCCGAGGTGCCTGCGGGCGCTGCCCGTGCTACCCGAGAAGGGACGCGAGTGGCCGGCGCCGTTGCTCTTCGTGTGCGGTGGTCTGGGACCACAGAAGCGGCTCGAGTACAGCTGCGCCGTCCTCGGATTCGCCGCGGGACGCATCTGGCGGTGCGGGAAGGTGAGACGCTGGCGAAGTTCGGTGTCCCCCATTTTTTTTTTAGGGGCGAAGCTCCTTAGGGCGTGGGCTGTGCGTCCCCTGTAGCCTGTATGTAGCCACCTCTAGTTTAGTTCTTGCAGTGTTCACTAGATGGCGGTACCGTCCCCTGTATGTAGCCACCTCTAGTTTAGTTCTTGCAGTGTTCACTAGATGGCGGTACCGTCTCCTGTATTTTTTTTTGCTATAGAAATAAGCATCCGCAAGGATCGGGTAGCAAGGAGCCAACACGTCAATCCACTAAACAGGTTTCACGTGACGTTATGGGCGCAGCCTAAAAATTTATAAACCTGGTCTGGGCATATCACATTCAGACCGACGGTAGGGAGGGGGGAGAGGCGAGGTGATCTTTATCTTAGATGTAGCGGAAAGGTAAGAAAATAGGGTGTGGAGTGCACGATAACCGTCTTAATGTACAATGGTAATAGCGCCTGCCGGACGGACACCGCATTTTCCGTAGTGGAGATAAAATTTACTTTTGTATTACGAGTGTACCAGCTCTTTTTGTCGCATTTCAACTAATCCGGGGCTGTTCTTCCGTAATGAGGTGAAATTCTGGCGAACACAAGATGAATTCACAAGGACACTTAACAGAGACGATGCAAATGCTTTCGTGTATGTGTGGCCTTACCACACTGGCTGGTGTATACACCAGAACAACTCACGCCGGGCTGGTGCATTCAAGAGAACAAATTGGCTGCGTAAGATGGTGTACTTATAACAAAACACATACAACAGGCTGATGTTTCCGTTGGAACACGCCATAACAGTCTGAGGTAACCACCAAAACAAACAGGCTGATATAACCAGTAGAATACACAACAGCCTGATGTCACCAAAACAAACCTCACAGGGCTGATGTACGCACCAGATGACGCCACACGATGTTTTTATGACCGTCATATTATTGAGTGGGAGACCATAATATGCATGTACCAATATTACACCACAGCAGGTTGATGTGCCCGTCAGGACTCACCGCACAAGGTCCATGTTCAACAAAGCACACTACAATGCTTTAAACCCACTCTGGTGGGTTTTTCGGCAAGTTCTTGTGGTGGTTCCTTAACCGTTTCCAAGCGCATCTTGTTTTAAATGCGAAGCATTTCTTAGCGAACTTCGGCGACATCAAGCGTATCTATCTATCTATCTATCTATCTATCTATCTATCTATCTATCTATCTATCTATCTATCTATCTATCTATCTATCTATCTATCTATCTATCTATCTATCTATCTATCTATCTATCTATCTATCTATCTATCTATCTATCTATCTATCTATCTATCTATCTATCTATCTATCTATCTATCTATCTATCTATCTATCTATCTATCTATCTATCTATCTATCTATCTATCTATCTATCTATCTATCTATCTATCTATCTATCTATCTATCTATCTATCTATCTATCTATCTATCTATCTATCTATCTATCTATCTATCTATCTATCTATCTATCTAATCTATCTATCTATCTATCTATCTATCTATCTATCTATCTATCTATCTATCTATCTATCTATCTATCTATCTATCCTATCTATCTATCTATCTGTCTGTCTGTCTAGTCTGTCTGTCTGTCTGTCTCGTCTGTCTGTCTGTCTGTCTGTCTGTCTGTCTGTCTGTCTGTCTGTCTGTCTGTCTGTCTGTCTGTCTGTCTGTCTGTCTGTCTGTCTGTCTGTCTGTCTGTCTGGTCTGTCTGTCGGTCTGTCTGTCTTCTGTCTGTCTGTCTGTCTGTCTGTCTGTCTGTCTGTCTGTCTGTCTGTCTGTCTGTCTGTCTGTCTGTCTGTCTGTCTGTCTGTCTGTCTGTCTGTCTGTCTGTCTGTCTGTCTGTCTGTCTGTCTGTCTGTCTGTCTGTCTGTCTGTCTGTCTGTCTGTCTGTCTGTCTGTCTGTCTGTCTGTCTGTCTGTCTGTCTGTCTGTCTGTCTGTCTGTCTGTCTGTCTGTCTGTCTGTCTGTCTGTCTGTCTGTCTGTCTGTCTGTCTGTCTGTCTGTCTGTCTGTCTGTCTGTCTGTCTGTCTGTCTGTCTGTCTGTCTGTCTGTCTGTCTGTCTGTCTGTCTGTCTGTCTGTCTGTCTGTCTGTCTGTCTGTCTGTCTGTCTGTCTGTCTGTCTGTCTGTCTGTCTGTCTGTCTGTCTGTCTGTCTGTCTGTCTGTCTGTCTGTCTGTCTGTCTGTCTGTCTGTCTGTCTGTCTGTCTGTCTGTCTGTCTGTCTGTCTGTCTGTCTGTCTGTCTGTCTGTCTGTCTGTCTGTCTGTCTGTCTGTCTGTCTGTCTGTCTGTCTGTCTGTCTGTTTACGACTTTTAGCTGTCCTGGCCGTTCCATAATGGTATCAATACCAAACTTGGTATGACATAACATGACTGTATGAAGAACATATTAGACTAGTAATAACATGAAAATCTTGACATGAATGTCATGAATGTCATGCTTAACATTTCATGATCTTGCAGCTCTTGCGGTGGTTTCGTTCACATGGCATGTTGCAAAACTGGTATGGTATGGCAAGATTGCATGGCGAACACAAGCGACAGATCCTAACGAGAAAATCATGACATGCGTATCATGTAACAACATGACTACATGCCACGCTCATGATGCGCTCGCTGCTGTTTCGCTAGCTTCACTTATACGATATTTGGTATTACGGGACATGAATGGATGACGAAGGTATGATACTGGTGCAAACATGAGAAATTTGCGATCAACACGACATGCTACGCTCATGATGCGCTCACAGCCATTTCAATAGCTTCACGTGTACCAAACTCGGTATTACGCGACGGGAGTGGACGACATAGGTAATTGACACATACAAACATGATAATCACAACATGCGTGTCATGTAAGAACGTGACTACATGCCACACTCATGATGCGCTCGCTGTCGTTGAGCTAGCTCTACATATGCCAAATTTGGGATTACGCGACGTCAATGGATGACGAAGGTATGTGACTGGTGCAAACATGATAATCATGAGATGCGTGTCATGTGGGAACATGACTACATACCATAGTCAAGGCACCAATACATTTCGACTTGACGCGGTGCACGTGCTCGCCGGCGTTCATTTCGGTGCGTCACGCCGGCGTTGCCACGCTAGGCGCTGGTCTTGCCATATACTGGCAGGCGCATGCCACGCTGCGTTGCTTTGACGCATGCGCGTTTCAGCGCGTCCGCCGTCCCTACGTCACGAAAAGAGGGAGGCGCATTGTTGTCTGGATAACGCATCGGTGCGTAATGCAGCATGTCGCATTTCGCGCCGGTTGCCGTCGGGCCGTGCTGACGGACGCTGGTCGCGCCTGTCATCAGACTATAGAGTGCTCGCGTTTTGCTAACGAAGTGTCGCTGAGCCCAGCGTGCGCGGGCGTCAACGTGACATATGAGTGTATTGGGCAATTCATGATGTGCTCGCGGCCGTTTCGCTAGTTCTTCATATACCAAATTTGACGTTACGTGGCGTGAATGGATGACGAAATATATGACTGGTGCAAACGAGTAATCCTGACACGCTTGTCATGTAAGAACATGACAAAATACCACGAACGCGCTCGCGGTCGTTTCGCTGGCTCCACATATACTAAATTTGGTATCACGTTACGCGAATAGATGACGAAGGTAAACGACACATCCAAACACGATAATCATGACACGGAAGTCATGTACGGCATCATTTACCTCCACTTCGTAACGTTGTGCTGATTTCAAAATGCAATATAAACCTTTCTCAATTCGTGCATCGCATATCATCGATTACCACTGTACGTGGGATGTGCCAATCTTTTTTTTTTTTGTGTGTGTGTCTTTAGCATATCGGGTAGCTGTGCGAGTGCAGGCCCCTGCTGCATCATATTGGACGATTCCACCTCTTCGCGCGCTGCAGCTTCCGCAGCCTCGACATCAGCACGCGGTGACCTGCCTGGACGATGCCCTGTACGTGCTGGGAGGCTTGGACACGCGCAACAGCCGTCGTGGGCTGCGCCTTGCGACCAGCGCCTGCTTCCGCTACCGCTTCCGGATCGCGTCTGACCGGAAGGCCGGGAAGGCGCCCACGGGTCAGTGGGAGCGGCTTCCCGACATGCGCCACGCGCGCATCAACCACGCTGCGGTGGCCCTCAAGGGGCGCGTCTACGCCGTCGCCGGACAGGATGAGTTCGATGTGTACGAGTCACATGTACTGGCCTTCTAAACGTGTGTATACGGCGCTTACGTATCGCAGAATGAAAACACTTATCGTATAGCACATTCGACAAACCACACCGGGGTGAACTGGTGCGCCATCTCGGGGAATCATCGTGGCGCGTCCCGGTTCACACCAGCGCGATTTGTCGAAAAATGCCATTTGCCACCGTGCACGTGGTTTGCTGCTTAGTGCATGCTCGATTTCCAGCCAGGACAGCATTTCAATGAACAGTACGCAATGCATTGGCTCGGAGACTACTTACTTTAGACACGTGGGCGTTGGTACCATGGGCTGTGAAACAAATGTTCACCAAACAGGACGCCTCCACATTGGGCGGTGCCTCATGGCATGGGGCTGTCGTAAAGTAGTTAATAAGGCTATTTTATGACGGCAACGAGAGACTTATCAAGCTGGTGTATGAACAAGTGAGAAGGTAGCCGTCAATAGGGAACTTTCACAATTATTTTCTTGCTTAAAAAAGAGAAAGTGTTATTTTATAGCTGACTTTATTAGTACTATTTATTTACGCTTGGGTAAAGCTGAGTTTTAACCGGAGCCCCACGCGGTGTAAGTTGCGTCTCAATGTAAAGTATAATGAACATGTTCTCTATTCCATAATGTTTTTTTTTCACAATATTTACAAAGTTCAGTGTTTCTGAAGGCGCACAGAGCAAAAAAGGTTGCACTTATAGTATTGAGCCTCAGACATATTACAGAAACATCACAAGTGTAGAAGATTGGGCGAGTTGGTTCGTCGTGCCTGGTAAAGCGCATTCCGGCAAAGAAAAATGGCTAAGCAGACCGACACGAGACAACAGAGCGCCAACTTCCAGCTAAGCTTGATTCGCAAATTCCACCCAGCATGAACACTTGCACAAGCTTACATGGATACCCGAACGTATCGCCAAGTTTATACACCACCATTGCAACGTCACGTACCAAAGATTCATAAACGGTGCACCTGATAAAGGAAGTACTATTCACGTTCGGATAAAGCCTTCGAAGGGGGCGTTGATACATATACAAGCTTCCGGGTACAAAATGTTATCACTGAGAACTGGAGTGCATTGATTTGCGGAACATGGAAGAGGCCGGGAAGAAGGAAACACAGCGCCGACGAAAGTAAAAATAAAAATTCCGCCATATCCACGAAGTGAATGATGATGAGTGGGCGAAGCTCCGGAGGTAAACCTGGTAAACCATGAATCCTCTGTACATTTTGCCCACTCGATTTTATTACATCGCTCCCCCTAGCGTACGTCGCCGCACTAAATCGAACGATTGCCTTCAACCAATGACACGCGCCATATGTGACATCATTCCTATTTTATAAGATCTCGCGTCTTTCATCAACTACAAGTACCGCTTTCTAGTTTATAACATCTTGCATCTTTTCATCATCAGCTACAAGTACCACCATCTAGTAAACACTACAAGAACTAAACGAGTGGTGGCTACATACAGGAGACGGTACCGCCATCTAGTGAACACTGCAAGAACTAAACTAGATGTGGCTACATACAGGCTACAGGGGACGCACAGTCCACGCCCTAAGGAGCTTCGCCCCTAATAGATTTTTAAAAACACCTTCCGGCTCCCATATGGGAGCCTTGTTCACAATGAGCGCAGACCTCTGCCGTGCAGGCGACGCAATCACACTGATGATGATTATGATCTTGTAAAACACGATGGTATCTTTAAGCTTCACCTTTAAGATTTGAACGCGATATCCTGTTCCTCTAGTGCGTACTTCAAACACCTATAGTCTATGAAAACTTTTCGAGCTTGCTATGCACCCACTACGCGGCCTTGGGGGTGCAGTAGCGTGTGTGCCTTTTGTAGCGGGCTTTGAAGTCGTTATGATAATCCCATGTTCTCTCGCCCGATGGCAATGTATGCTTGTACCACGAATCATAACAGCATTGTTCGGCCCGTGCGTTTGTAAAGCATAAAGGTTATACTTTCACTGCATTTCCGAGCAGGGGAAGTTATTTTCACTGTATTCACAAGCAAACGCGTGGCTGAGTGTAACGTAACACCAGCTTGCCACGTAAACGACATGGTATACGACCATCATCTTCATTATTTATTTTATTTGCATTTTTTTCTCGATTTTTCGGTCACGCAGAGATTTCTGCGAAACGAGATCGATAACAGTAAAAAATTGGTGCGAATCTACATGTTACAGCTGTAAATGTCGTCGAAAGACGGTAGTCTTGCGCCTGGAGAGAGTGAACAAAACGTTTATGTTCTACGCAAAATAATCGGTGAATAGTATTCTGAAGGCACTGCGTTAGAGGGCCTCGAGCGTGTAGCGGAGGCGAACAAGCGCATTATACGCACGTTAGACATAGTGCCATCTGGCAGTTATCTTCGAAAACGGAGGCGCGCGCGACCACCGAGAAAGATGCGCGCCAGTCTCGGTAGGTGATAAGGTGTAGAATGCAAAGCGACGGGCAGGTGTCGCCACCGTGTCGTCGTAACAAAGCGTTGGAAACACCTTCTTGAGCATCGCGTTGCACTCTCAGCGCAGCGCAATAAACGCTACAGTCCTTAGAGTTACTTGTGTGTGCCTTTTCTAGTATAAAGGCAGACATACAAAACATAGACGTGTTGTTACGGCGCCTCAGATATGCGCAATATTTGCTTTTTTAGTTGACAATCGCACAACTATGAACGCCTATAAACCTTGAGCACGATTGGTGGGCGCGGCGGATGGGGTCGGCCGTGTGGTGCCGTATAAGGTATCGTTAGGGCGGGCAGACAGAGAGACAAAAATTTTTCCGTCGAAGGTCCCCAAGGAAGAAGAATGGCGATTTGGGCTAGTTGGTTTGAATTCATGCAGCGCGAGCACGAATGTGCTAGAAGAAACAGACGAAAGTCGAGGTACGGAAGGCAAAGAGGACAACACGTGTTTTCCTCTTTGCCTTCCGTACCTCGACTTTCGTCTGTTTCTTCTAGCACATTCGTGCTCGCGCTGCAACCCTTATTGTTATGTCCCCAAGGAAGTCTTAAAAGCTGATCCCTGCTGTGCCCTGCAGCTTCCTGAGCTCGGTGGAGTGGTACGAGCCCGGCGCGCCGTCGTGGTGCGAGCTGCCGTGGCCGTTGCCATGCCGCCTGTCGGCGTGCGGCGTGGCCTCCTTCCGCGGGGCCCTGCACGTGGCCGGCGGACTGGTGCAGGCGCCCCGGCACCCGGACTGCCTGTACGTGGTGTCGTCGCTGCTGCGCTGGGACTCCGCGCTGGCCGCTGGCAGAGGGCTGGGCCCAGCCTGCCCTCCGGAAGGGGATCGTTGGCGCTCGTCGAACACGACGGTACGGATAAGGCCCTTTCAGACGCCGCTTGTCTGTAAGGGTGTCAGGTTTACGTGACGTCATAGATAGCTTGCGCGTTAGGTCATGGTCGCAGCGTCGTGACGCACTGGTTCGTCAACATGGCCGACCTTGATTACGATAATCGCGTCGTATACTTGACTTTGATAACGATGCGGCCTGAATTTTATTAAACTCTTGCGTTCAATAACGAAATAACTTACAAGTGATGTAATGATGACATCAACACGTGACGTTAAACACCTTGCGTGTCCCAAGTGTTGCACGAACATGGCGGCTTCCACGACGTCAGTGCAAGCCATCTATTGTTGTACACTCAACATTCTGGTTTAGCAAACACAATCTCATAATATATATGATTTAATTAGCGAAGAAGTGTAAATTAAAGGGCTCGTTTTTTGTTCGTTAGACACAATGTTAGCGTAGCCCTTCAATACTCCTTCTGGTCACGAAACTTGATTGATTTGTGGGGTTTAACGTCCCAAAACCACCATATGATTATGAGAGACGCCGTAGTGGAGGGCTCCGGAAATTTAGACCAACATTTCCGCCTCCATCGGAAATGCAGCCGCCGCAGCCGGGATTTGAACCCGCGACTTGCGGGTCAGCAGCCGAGTACCTTAGCCACTAGACCACCGCGGCGGGGCTGGTCACAAAACTTCACGATCACGCTATGGAAGAGCTTCATATGGTACGGAAAGCTGCCGCGACGTGGCACCACCGTAGTTTAGAAGCCACGCTTCTCCGCCCATGAGGCCGGCGCGATCTGAAAGTTCGCAAGTGTACTCTGTATTAAATGCGAAGCATTTCTTTGCGTAGTGCGTGCTCTGAGCACCTACCTACCTACCTACCTACCTACCTACCTACCTACCTACCTACCTACCTACCTACCTACCTACCTACCTACCTACCTACCTACCCACCTACCCACCTACCAACCTACCTACCCACCCACCCACCCACCCACCCACCCACCCACCCTACCTACCACCCACCCTACCTACCTACCTACCTACCCACCAACCCACCCACCCACCCGGTAAACCAAATTACGCGTGAGAGTAAAGATCCAATTTTCTGGTTCTAAACTGTGAAACCATTTGCCTCTTTGCATAAAATACGATGCTTTTTAGTTTCCAACCAGGCATTCTGAGTTCTTATTTGCCCATAAAATATGTTTGTGTATAATTATGTGTCCAAAGTAATTATGTGGTTCGATGTTCTCTTGGTACGGTTCTTTCAATATGTTCGATATTTTATGTATGATATTTTATGCATAATGATTTCACCATTGTTCTTTCTTTCTTTCTCAAAAATTTCTCATGTGTATTTAGTGTGTTTGTTGTTTTCAGTGTGGTTTCTTCAATGAAATAACATTTGTCGCGTCACATGATACTTTCATTATTTTTTTCTGTAAAGACTTGTTTTCTGAAAGTTTCGGATAAACAAATAAAAAAAGGACCCCTGATTGGCTGCGCACGAAGTGTCCACTGGTCCCGAGCAACGGGTTGGGAGTTCTCCAGGGTGAGTAAGCTCCGCCTCACAGCGGCGTGGTTGCTCCACCCGGAGCCCACCGGCACCCATTTGAAGACAGGAGGGTGGCCGTGGTTGGCACGTTGGGGATCGAACCAGGTACCATCCGTAGTGAAAGCTGCATGGGCGTTTTACCACCTCTGTTAATTCGGTATTGCCTGGCGGGGACAATGTACAGGGCAATCATTGCGCATTCGCATAATACAATAAAAATGAACAAGCGTTACCATAAGTTCCATTTCGACTGATGCCCATAAGGGTTAGAAGTTCTAACCTTTGGAATCATTCTGGTACGATCTCTTGTATCTCCCTAGTCTCAACGAATTCACACATATTTTTGCCTGAAATAAAGTACTCGCATGGCCCGGGTCAAAGTGGTATCGGGCCATTTGCGCACGCCATATACCGTGGAGACCGATAAGCATGACAACATCCAATGAAACCCCATTATCGTTCCTACTGCGAGATCCCTTATCCTCTGTGGATCCAGTGGAAAATATTTCTGTATTGTCTTTATTTTATTATTTATTCTTTATTCAATTATTACCCCGCTTAGCCCGAAGGCGCTGCAGCAGGGGGGTTACAGTGTCGAGGAAAACACATCTTCATTAAATCTTCCTCTGCAAAAATGTCCCATATGGGTACCCCTCCCCAAAAAGGCTAGAAAAAACGTGGCATATCGGTTTTGGTTTCCTGCATATCGAGCGGTGTTTATGATTGATTTGATTTGTGAGGTCTAACGTCCCAAAACCACCATATCGTTATTAGAGACGCCGTGGTGGAGGGCTCCGGAAATTTCGAGCATCTGGGGTTCTTTAAGGTGCACCCGAATCTGAGTGCACGGACCTACAACATTTCCGCCTCCATCGGAAATGCAGCCGCCACAGTCGGGATTATATCAAGCAGTGTGACCCCCATATTGTAAAAAGCCCCGTTCCTATGTGAAAGTGTTTACCGTTACTGTTCCTGTGGGTAACTTGAAGAAAAGGGGGTAGTGATTTCAAACGAAAAGAGAGTGAGCCCCGTAACTGTTTCTCAGGGGGAGGACACCTCAACAGTAGCTCACGAGGAATGGGGGTAGAGAAGGGATCAAAAGGATAGGATTAAAAGGTAAAGAGGTAGAGAGAGAGGAAGGAGAGAGCGAGGCGCAGGGACAGAGAACGACGGAAGTAAGGAGAAGACAGGAAAGATGGACACGGTTGTAGGAGTCCGAGGGCGGGGCACCACTGGCGAGAGTTCTTGTCGGCGTCAGGAGATGGCGTAGGGTTAATCCAGTCGGCTAGAGCTACGCTGTCGTCGTCGTTGGAAACCGGCGTCAGGAGGTTGCGTAGGACCAGCCCAGTCGGCCAGTGCTGCATGGTCGTCGGAGATCGCGAGGGCACAACCGATCGGCACGGAATCCAGCGAGCGAGTCCAACTTAAAGGAAAATGTTTCCTCCCTGTAGGTAACTGCATGTTTTTCACCCGCTTCAGTACATTTTGTCCCGGTCTTCCACTGTATATGACCCCGTACAATGGTACTGGTGAAACCATGCCACATACATCTTTGTACATTTTTTCATAACACTTATTAGCCACGCAACCGCCCTATTTAAATAGTGACATCCAGTTCCGTTAAGGCACTGCCTTACCCGAGTTGGCGCACCGTACGCAAAAATAGATCACTGGCGTCACGGAAAAACGAAAATTTAATTGTCTCACAAATAGGTGGGCCAAACCAAAACGTTCATGCGCCTGGAGAAATTGGTCCGGCTGCACCTTTCCTATTCCGAGCCCCATATCAAAACAGCAAACCCGCTGTGCAGCCTTTGCACGTTGATCATTGAACAAAATAGCACCTGTGTTACATACCACAGTTTAGTGATTAAAAAAAAACATGTTGCACACAACACCCTCTGACGCACAAAAAGCCTTGACACATAGAACGCATAGGTCAATGAGCGCCAAAAGACTTGCTAACAATTGAATGCGTTGTGCTGTTCTGGTACGCCAAGTCCACTCTCGCCCTGATGAAGGAACCAACATTATTATGATCTAAGATGACAAACTAAAGATCATGCGCAACACAATTAAAAGCTTATACTCTTACTGGAGCCCAGCAACGCCAAGTAACTCTTCGTCACAGCACTCGCACCACATCTTGTGAATGTTTGAGCTAACAGTACCGTCTTTGATTCCACAAGCTTGGTACCCTCCGACTATTTCTTTAATGACACCTTGCAGTCGGGCTGCCCGAACCTTCATAAAAATCTTGTAGTCAACATTCGTCAGCGATATGAGCCTATACGAGTCACCTAAGTGTTTTTCCACTTCGTGCGTTTTAGGAATTAATATCGTATTCGCTTTGATAAAGGAAGGCGGCAGAGTTTTCCCGTTCGTAAGCCCCATTGCACAGCTCAGCTAACCAAGGGGACAGTAAACGTCCTACACCACGCAGTGGTTAGGCCATCGGGTTCCCGTGAATTTCGCCACCGCTGTGGTGAAGGCACAAGTAAATACGCCGCTACATGCCCATTTCATGAAACCGCCACCAAACGCATCGCTGAAGCCTCGGAAACGTTCCTGTAGTTAAAAGTCCAGTTTTTGACAGGCACATAGTTCACATACCGCATCTTTGTCCTCATCTTCACTTCTTGATGGAAGCACTCGTGCTTGTTCGTGAAGGTCAGGATTGATGCCGTATATAGTCTCCGATTTCACTGAAACAGCTATACTCATTTATTTTCAGTTGGCAAGCGCGCGGAGGTCTCGAACTCGCGACATCCAACAGAAGTGAGGATCGCGCAACAAAAGACGCACTTCCGTATAAAGTCAGCTTGGTGGCAAGAAACAGCCCCGTGATCCCAGTCGCCATTGGTACTTGCCTCCTATTTCATTTCATAAAATAACATTTTTTGTTTAAAAAAAAGACGCTATTACTGTTTGGTCTATTCAGTCCCCAAGCCACGTCCCTTCCAGCTCACATTTCCACTAACCAGTCCAGCCACAGTTCCCAAATCATGTAGCAGTCACTTCAATATCCGTAAATCCGCGGAATCGAACTAAAACCCTCAGGGTTATGAATTCAACACCGTATCCATTCAGCCACCACCCCTACACTGGGGGACAGTGCTTAGGAGTTGCTCTGCTCACCGTACTTCAGGTCGCGATTGAAAATAACAATCTAACTTGGGCGTTTCAGCCTCAATAACGACATCGCTTTAGGGATCTCGTTTTTCTCAGCATCACCAGCACCGGAATTCGAACCAGCGCCCTTTAGGTTTGCATCGTAACACTTTACCGACTCGGCTACTGCCGCGATCTTGATAAGAAGGTCTAAAAGTTGGTCTGCGCAATATATGCAGCCAGTTCTTCAATATTAAATAGTGTGGTTCTGTGTTTAGTAAAAAAATAAAAAAATGCTAAATATATTTTTAAAAAGCTGCAAGACGCTTGAGCCTCGCCTTCAA